ACTCAGGATCCTTACATGAAGTTGTAGCAGCAGCAGAGACCAGGGAAGGGCTACGATGGCATGAGACCATAGGTTCTTTGCCCATGAACTGAGTACCTTCATAGGGGAGGGCTGGCTTGCAGAGCTCAGTGCCCATTGGGCATTAATCAGTGCTAAAGTTACTTGGTAACACTTGTCCAAGCTGGGCAGAAGCCTAAACAGACCATGTGACTGAAAAGGTTGAAGATCAGCGAAAGACGTTTCTGTCTTGAGGGAAGGCCTGTCTGCAGCTTTGGTGTATTGCCTTATAAATATATGTACACAGGCCAATACCACAATTGTTATGGATTAATGTATTTGCATGAGTGCACACCTCTGTTAATCTCCCTATCTATGCCTTTGCTTCCTAGAGCCTGCCTGTTTCCTTTTGCCTCCTCCTGCCCCGCTATCACTTTATCCCTTCCACCTCTTAGTGCTTCCTCTCCACTAGCTTGGTGTTGCTCTAATACTCACAGGGTCCCTACCCTCTCCTAGATGCTGGCTCCACTTTCCTAGTTGTTTCCGTCCATGATGATGTCCGCTCATCACACCCTTCTCCCCATCTCCTTCTACCCTCTCCACCTTTCGGGGCCATTGGCCCCATTGCCTTCTCCCAGGGCTTCCCTCCCATGGTCCAACCCATATAATGAGGCACAAATTGGCATTCTGTGATGCTCACCACCCCACTCCACACACACACACAAACGATCACTGAAGACAATGGGTGCATAGCAAATGTGGTGAAGACAGAGGATGGTGCCGCGCTATTAAAAGATAGTGTCTGGGGCCTTAAAGGCTTGAAGTTAAGCAAGCGGCCACCCAACAGAGAAGCAACAAGCCCACATGGAAGAAGCACACCAGCCAGTGTGATTGTGAGGTGTCAAGACTGGGCAACGGGCATCAGAAGATTCACAACAAACAGTAAACAAACAAAAATGCATTGGTGAGAATGGAGGGGGGTAGGAGCAGAGACCCAAAGCCCATCTACGGACAATGGAACATCCCCCCACAGAGGGGTTGCAGGGAAGGGTTGAGTCAATCAGGGTCACACAATATACCTCGGTTCCCTGAAGGCCTCCTCACAGCCCGCTATCACCACCTCAGTGCTACCTCCCAATCTAGACAGGAGCATGTACACAGGTATAGGAAAGAGCTAAAACTCACAACACATGGAACCCAGCAACGGGAATGGGACTAGAGATCCCCAAAGGGTAGGGGGAAGAGGTGTGGAAGGAGGGGGCACTGATCGCAATGAATGGCACTTAACCACACACCCCATCCAGGGGGAAGAACAGCAGAAACCAGAGGGGAAAGGAGACAGCAGTCGGTGTGAGATTTGAAAACAATTAACAATCTACAATCAGGGGTCCACAAGGGTTACGGTGGGGGAGGAGGGAGGGGAAAAAGGAGGAGCTGATCCCAAGGGCTCAATGCAAAGTAAATGTCTAAAAAAGAATGATGGAATATATGTATGAATATGTTGGATACAATTGATGTATGGTTTGTAACAAGAGTTGTAAGAGCCCCCAATAAAATGATTTTTTAAAAAGTGTCTGTCAGCATGGCAGAGAAAGGGTGCTGCAGCAGACAACAGGATTCTGCCCTGAATGTTTTCTGAAAGACTGAATGCAATCAGACCTAATCAGCCCCCATAATCGTAAGTATTGTCTGTGAATTGTGTGGCCATTGCAATGGATTACTGAACCTAACGGAGTACAGGGTGGTGCGAGGGATGGTTGGTGCCAGAAAAGGGTAAAAGTGGAAGGACGGAGGCATGCCAGACCTCTGCCTCATAGGAATCATCCTTGGCCAGATGTGCAGCTGGATTCTCTCTTTTGTATAGCCAGAGGCAGCCTAAAGTGGCTCCCACACCATTTTTCAGCATCTAACAGCATAGCTTGGCACCCCTCGCAAGGTATTCTTGAGTTATTTAAACACAGGACTGTTAAGTCATTCAAGAGGAATTGGTGTAGTTGTAAGATATTAGCACCAGGTGGCGATAGAGTTCTCAACAACGCACAGAACCACATCACTTAGAGACACTTCTTTCAATACTGCGGATCTGGCTTATTCCATTATGCCATCTAGTGGCAACATAAGTAGGAAACTCGGATTAGTTGGCTAGGCAAGAATTTTTAAGTTTCATAAGAGCTAAATGAGTTCAAAGATTAAGTACTGAATAGAAAATAATTACGATGGCAAGGAGAGGGGCAGGGAAGACTGTCAGAGTAGAATCCCAAAGTGACAAAACAAATCTAAATGACACTTAAAACGAGACTATTTCAAAATAATTCCCTTATTCTCTTCCTTAAATTATTTCCAAAGGTGGCTTCAACTACCTCCTTAAATTAACAAGGACTTTCTTTTTGTTTGTTTGTTTTATTTTTTTAGGACTTTTTAACATAAAAAAAAATTCTTTACTAAATCTCAAAATTCTATGGAAGCCAGGGACAAGCAAATAGATCTGGGCATCCCTCTAATTTTAACCCTGATCCAAGCCCAGTTAGTGGCCCTGCTCAATAACAGAAGATGTAAGGGTGCTACAAGTGTGGTGAAGAAAGCAGGTGGTGCCCAGCTATCAATTGGAATGTCTGGGGTCTAAAAGGCTTGTATTCAAACAAGCAGCCATCTAAGTGAGTCAATTACATCCACAGAGCAGAAGCACACCAACCTGTGTGAAACACACGATGAAGGGAAAAGTGTCAGAGCTTATATTGTGAACACCCGATTTGTACAAGGCTGTGGAGGAGGGTGGGAACCCAAATCTACCTGCAGAGTATCTAGTCAGAATGGGCCTCTGATAGTCACAAATGGAGATAATTGTACACTTGATTTTAGTGAATTGAACCATGGTATAATACTTGGGTCAGTTGACCTCTCTTGACCCATCTTGAATTTTCTCTATGCTCAAATATTTCTTGATTGTTCCAAGAAAGAACTTTCTTCTCTGGTTTTTAAAATATTGTTGGTGGTTTATTACTATTTTATTTTTACATTTGTTTGGTCTTTTTTTTCCAAAAGTATAATTTTATTTTTAAAGCATATTGGGGGGCTCTTACAGCTTATCACAATCCATACTTACATCCATTGTGTCAAGCACATTTGTACATGTTGCCATCATTTTCAAAACATTTTTTTCGAATTGAGCCCTCCCTCATGAACCCTTGATATTGATAATTTATACATTATTTTTTCATGTCTTACACTGACCGCTATCTCCCTTAACCCACTTTTATGTTGTCCTCCCCTTTTTATGTATGTCGATCATTGTGATCGGTTCCCCCATTCTCCTCCCACCTTACCCTTACCCTCCTGGTATCCTTCTGTTTCGTTTTTGTACTGTTTCTGTGAGCTGAGGAAGCACAAAAGGAGCTGAAGAAGCACAGAACCATAGACAATAACTGATGCAATGGTTTATTGGGAAGTGGTGGGGGGGGGATTTTGGGGGGCAATCAGTGCATGTGGGAGGGAGTATTAGAGTTGATTATGATGATGTATATACAACTCTTTTTAGGAGAGGTTCAACTATGGAACTGTATGATATGTGAATATTATATCAAGAAAACTACTTTTAAAAAAGGAAGCCAAACGACCTGTGGTTACCATGGGTTAAGGAGAAGAGTTTTTGCTTAGGGGGCACAGAGTTTATGTTGATGGTGGTGGACAATTTGGAAAGGGATGATAATAATGGCTGTATAACATAAAGAGTATAATCAAGGGTACTGAATTATACATGTAGAAGTTGTGGATTAGTGAATATTTGTTGCGTACATTTTTGTCAAAATCGGGGAGGGGGGGAATTACATAAATATAAATGAGTACAGGAAAAAAAATGTCCTAAAATTGATTGTGGTAAAGGGTAAAGACTGTACAACTCTTCTTGAACTACTAAATTATATTATATGTGGATGAAGTGCCAATATACTTTAAAAAAAAATCTTATGAAAGCAAGATTTCCTCCTAGATATCATCTGAGGATTTTAGAGAGTTAAATTTGGGGTAGTCATTGATTTATATTCATGGTTCTCCCATGAAATTTCTTTAAAAGCAAAAAGAAACTCATTGCCAACTGGTTGATTCTGACCCACAACAACCCTGTCAAACAGGGTAGAACTCCCCCTGTGGGCTTCCAAGACTTTTTAAGGACTTCTGTGAAGTAGAAAGCCTCATCTTTCTCTTGAGAGGCAGCAAGTAGTTTTGAATTGCTGATCTTGTAGTTAGCAGCCCAATGAGTAACCACTATGCCATCAGGACTCCGGGTGGAGTTTTTTTAGGTACTATATAAAATGTGCCCTCCTCAAATGTACAAGCAAAGTCAAACATACTTTAAAAATTTGAAAGCAAAGTGTACTCTTAAGAAGTAAAAAACTCCATATTAATCAGCAAAAGATGATCACACCAAAAAGAAAATGTAACGACAACCAAGCAATCCTAAATAACCAATAAATAACATCACTCTCATTAGTACCCTGACAGTAAGACTGACAGTGATGAGATTTTAAATATTTTTTACTCCTCAACCTAACAGAGAGAAATATTTGCAGTAATAAAGTGTAGAGAGAGTGAAACTGATGCTATTTGGTTACAGTATAAACTGTGCAACTTTTCTATAGAGTTAAATGGGCAAATATTTAGAATTTCAACCTCTACTTATTCTAAGAAATAATTCCAAGATTGTAAAAAATAGCTATTGTTAATCATATTGTCTATAAAGAGCCAACACCAGGTCACAAGCTAGCTACACAAACTATAAGGTATCTGTAGGCTAGAACACCATGTTGCTAGTACAAGTTATAGTGTAGGGCATTATGAGTTGGAATTTATTTAAAACCAACCGCTAACAAAAATATTAATAGTATCAGAACATTTTTCCCTCAAGGTGCACTGGTGGCACTGCGGAGTAGGCACTGGGCTGTTTAATGGCAAAGTGGGTAGTTCAAATCCACCAGTTGCTCCACAGGAGAAAGATGAGGTGTCTTAAAAACTGTATATAGGCACTCAGAGGGCCTTTTGTCAGTGACCCACTGAGCAGTCAAAAAGGGCAGATTAAAAAGCACTTTTGATTAAAGCGGCAACATCTCATATTGTTCAGCTTCAATCAGTGATGTGACAAAAGTCCCCACCTTTATGACTAAAACCAGAGTGTGATCTGGGTGGAGAGGTTTTGAGCTGGGTGTGGGGGAAATGTAGGTGTGTGTGTGTGGGGAAATCAATGGGGAGAATGTCCTGGTTATAAGTAGCCTATAAGAGATTATACAACTTAAAAGTGGAATAAATAATAAAGCTGTCATGTTAAAAAAAACTATATAGGATTGGAGTATGAATCAACTATTGAAGTTGGTTTTATCTTGGTTTTAGCATTGTGTATGAAAAAATTGTTTTGCAACACTATGAGTGAGCATCATATCAATTTTTTTTAAATGTATTTTACCGGCTGGACTGGACAATATACGCTGGTACAGATAGGAACTGGAAACACAGGGAATCCAGGAAAGATGACCCCTTCAGGCCCTGGTGAGAATGGTAATACCAGTAGAGTGGGGTAGACAGGGGGAACTGATTACAAGGATCTACATATAACCTCCTCCCTGGGGGACAGACAACCAAAAAGTGGGTGAAGGGAGATGTGGGACAGTGTAAGATATGACTAAGATAATAATTTATAAATTATCAAGCGTTCATGAGGGGAGGGGAGAGCAGGGAGGTAGGGCGGGGGGAAATGAGGAGCTGATAACAAGGGCTCAAGTAGAAAGAACATGTTTTGGGAATGATGAGGGAAACAAATGTACAAATGTGCTTTACAAAATAGTATAGACTGTGATTAAGAGTTGTACAATCCCCAATAAAAATGACTTTTTTAAAAGGTTAAAAAATGTTATTTCATTTTGTTTATTGTGATTTTCTTAATTTCCCAATTTACATGTATTACTTTTATAAAGCAAAGTTATGGTAAAATTATTATTTAATGCATGCCACAAAATTTTTCATTCATATAAATAAATACCTTTTCAATCAAATTTACATTTGCATATTTAGAAAGTCTTGGGTTAATACAAGTTTCATATATGTGTATTTGACACAAAAAGGGCATTAAGAATTTGGAATCATTCAAAAGCTCACTTATATCTAATACATTTTTCTCTGAAAAGCCAGAACCACATATCTACTTAAGAAAACATTTAAAATTACCCTAATCCACTAGATTTTTACATCCCCTTTCCCATATCTCTAAGTAAAATTCATTTTTAAAATACTGTATATTTAAATTTTACTATTTCTTAGAATCAAGTGTATCAACAAAATTACCCTCTAAATATTTAAAATTATAAAGCTACATGTTATCATGTATGCATGGGAAATAACCATACAAAATCTCTATTTAGATTATATGTATTTTAAAGCTCATTTTTTAAGAATAAGATCTCCTCCCTTTTGAACCTAAATTAATAATCAGTAAGTACAATCAGCTATCTCTTCCTTTTATGGTTTTTCTATCTCTAGTAATCTGAGCAAAATTTTCTGTGAAAAAATGAATGTGTTCAAAGCACTTTAAATGTATTTAATACTGTTGTGTATAACCTTTGTGAAATTAAAGAAATTATCTTCTTATGATTATAAATAGGGGGAGCGGAAGAGATGAGACATCCCAACCCCTGTGGCAGGTACATAATCTGTCACTTGAGCTGAGGGGTGGAGTCTCTCCTGTCAATCAGTCATAGCCAATGAGGCCTCTGTATGGGCCTGGCCTTCTGAAGTTCTGTCTTCCTCCCTGGGTGTGGGACACACACTCTCCCTACAAGACATTCCTGTTGACAAGCCAGATGGAGCTAAGTTGATGGAGCCAGAGCCCTAGAGCTGGAGAAGCCACATGGATACCTATGTCAGCACTGAGATGCTTTCACTTCCACTGGTCCACAAGACTTTCCACCCACTGATCTGTGACCTTCCTGCATTCGGTGACATTGCATGCTGCAATGAGTCTGAAGAGGAATTTCTAGACTGGTATCAGACTTATGAATTTGATCTGAGCTGGACTGGGATGTTTTCTCAATAGACAATTGTTCTTTTATATAAAGCTCTTTCTTACACATGAGTCTCCTTAGATTTGTTTCTCTAGTCTAACAAAACTTCCACTTTAAAAAAAAAAAAGGAAATTTTATAAATTGAAGTTAGTTAGATCTGCCAATAAGTATGTGCAATAGGTTGTACTAAATAAAAATAATTTTGTTTATAATTGAGACTTCATTCATAATACATAATGGTCCACTAACAGAATTTATAAATATTACAGCTTTTCACTTCTATTCTAAACAAAAAGAAAATAACGAATCAATGCAAATAATTTAGAAATAAGCACTTTATTTTTTTTAATTCCCACAAAACTGAAACTATCATTTATATTAATTGCAATAGCAATAAAAATCAGAATAAATTTGCTAACTCTTGAAAACACTTTATGAGCATAAAACAAATTTAAAGGAAAAATTAAGTACTTCTTTCAGATTGAAGATGAGCTGGCAGCTTGTGACATACCCACCTACATACAAACAACACATACATTTAAAACAGTGCAAGATTTAATTAATTTAGGACAATATCCCAACCAATCCCAACCCAGTTTCCAATTACTTGTGCAAGTTTATAATCAATCATAAGTTAACGTTTCCTATTCAGAAAATGTGTCACACACACACACACACACACACACACACACCCAGCATTCAAAGTGTAAATACTTCAATGTAGCTGCAATCTTTTTATATACTTTTACGGGGGAAAAAATTATTTTTCCTTTAAACAATATGTCTAAAAGAAAAGTAAACTTATCATTTCCTATTCTTTTTCTAAATTTAAGAAAACATACGTAATCTTCCTTTACATCTGGTTAAGTTCAAATATGAATTGATAGTGGGGTAATTTAGATTTTTTTACGAAAGCTCTAAGACGAGATGAACACAACTTACTATATCTTCTTTAAGAAGTATGAGCTGGAGTGTCAGGCATTCCTCACGTTTTTGCATTATTTGTATAGAATGCTGCTTTTAAAAATAATAGCTTTGAAAAAGAAACTGAGATCAAAATATATGAATGGAAGATTTCTATAAAGGTCCCCAAAACTATCTTTGATCGTGAAATCAGAGAAAAGGTTTTGCTAGGAAAAAAATTACTTCTCTTCCTTTTTCTTTTTTCTGATTCTCACAAGTAAGCCTCAAAAGACTTTTCTCAAATAAATATTGATGTAAATGTTGATTTCAAGGGCAAACAATTTTCATAGAGTCTATTTCTCATGCAATTCACCATTTGTTGAAACCAAGGCAGCGCTGTTCTGGTGTAAGTCGTCAATGGACTCCTGTGGAGTATTCCTTCTGGAAGAGTTTATTGGGACCTGCAGCTGACTGGCAGATGTAGGTGTAGCAGCATTTGGTGGCTTTGTAGAGGAATTAGGTGAAAGTCTATGTTGACTACTCTCCTCCCCAGAAGTAGATGAATGTCTTTTCCTTCCAAATTCTTCACTAAGAGGAGGCTGCAAATCATGAAAAAACATAGTTGACAACTTTTACTATTGTCCCTTCCCCTTTCATGATATTGTAAGCTGCCGGTGAGAGGTGGGTGGGGAGTTGGGGGTTAGTGAAAATATATCGTTATTTTAAAAGAAAAGAAAGAAAGAAAATGCCAGCTTTACAGGGCTTTCCTGTAAGAGGTGTAAGAATCAAGAAACATCGAAGACTAGACTAATATTTTCTTAGAGGGCCAATTTAAGACAATGACCACCTTTTGAAAGCTTCCATTGTATTTAAAAGAGGAGGTCTGACTTATTTCCGTTCAGATAGGGCAAGAATCACTACTATAAATGACTATGAGAAAGTGGGAACATCTCTGAACTGTTTGGTAACCCAAGAAAAATAACTCTTGATTCTAGTGGTATGGGCATTTCCAAATAAAATGGTCCGTCCAATCCCCTTACACAAACTGCAAGACAACTGAACTCGACAGCAAACTCAGGTGGACCTCCCACTCCTCCTTCCAGATCATTTAAGTCTGCTTTTAAAATTTTGTAATAGAGTCTCTTATCCCCCACTCCCTTCTCTGTTCTGCTCTTTGTCTCCTGTGTTTCCCCAAGTGTTCCTTTCCTCTTGGAATCACATTGTGGAAATCTACTACCCTGCCTATATATATGAACATACTATTCTTGCCCTAACATATTGTGGGGCCCCTACTTCCATCAGAAGCTACAAAAACTTTAAGTCCCTAAAAGTATACTGAAAACTGAGAATTCTTCAAACTGCAGATTAGAAATTAATTAAAATTAATAAAAGTTACAATAAGAACTTATCTAAACAAAAGTGAACTGACAATTATACTGTGTGTAGTTACATTGTATTGTTCAAAGTCATAGGAAGCTTTATTAAACAAAAATATCAAAATGTGAAGCTATTGTTTCCTATCATTTCCTTAATCTATTTCTGAAAACAACTGTTTCCATCTCTCTATGCCAAACCCAAAGATTTTATACCCTTGTAAGTTTCTCAATGAAATTCTTGTAGGACAAGCCTCCCTACAAACCTCCCTACCTTCAAAGAATGAGTAGGTTTATTGTCATAATGAGAACAAAATTCCTCACTGAAACTTTCCCGGCTTTTTTTTTTTTTTTTCAACAATGCATTTTTTCAAATTTTTTAGTGTCTTTCTAATAAGTCCCTGGGATAGTCCTGTGTCCTTCAAGAAAATCTATCAAGATTACCCCTCTGGAATATTCAAAACAAACAGTCACCACAACCCTCTGAGCTAACTTTTCTGCCTTGCCTTGAAATTCAAGGGTCCAACATATCCCATCAGAAGCTATTATTTTAATTGGACTTTTGTTTTGTTTGAAGGCACACGAACATGACTAGTGTACTATTGAGACAAGTCCCACTGATCACTGAGACAAATTTCAAACACATTTTGTTTGCAATAAACCCTGCATGTATAAACTAGAGCCCTTGTAGCTTTGGTACTCTTATGTAAGATGCTAATACGGGGGGGTGGGGGGTTGGAGGGGGGGTGGCTAACATACTGAAAAAGTGTATTGTTTTCGCACCTGTTTTAAAAGCTGGTATTTCTCAACAAAAGTTAAATATAAAAATAAAAAACAAAGAGAGGCATTGGTATGAGATCAAATTGTAAGGTTAATAAAAAGAATACTAAAGGGGAATGCAGGACAGATGATCCCTTCAGGACCAGTGCTGAGAGCAGTGACACCAGGAGGGTGGGGCGGGAAGGGGGAACTGATTGCAAGGATCTACATATAACCTCCTCTCTGGGGGGATGGACAACAGAAAAGTGGGGGAAGGGAGACTTTGGACAGTTTAATATATGACAAAATAATAATAATTTGTACATTATCAAGGGTTCATGAGGGAGGAGAGAGCAGGGAGGGAGGGGGGAAAATGAGGAGCTGAAACCAAGGGCTAAAGTAGAAAGCAAATCTTTTGAGAATGATGATGGCAACAAATGTAGAACTGTGCTTGACACGATGGATGGATGGATGGATGGATGGATGGATGGATGGATGGATGGATGGATGGATGATAAGAGTTGTACGAGCCCCCAATAAAATGATTTAAAAAAATACTTAAGGACTTAAAACTTACATCAACACGGAAGTCTTCTAACCTCTTAAAACTACAGAGGTATTCCTGAAGTTTTGGGTCAATAGATTGTGTCTTAGATTGAGAATATTTTAGATAAGCCCAAAACTTTTCTAGTCCATATAGCTGACCTAATAATAAAGAAAAATATACATATCAATTATACAAAACTTTAAAAAAGTGATCTATAGTGAACATGATCCAACCAGTGATTTGGGGATAAACTATCTTACACTACATATTTACCTACAGTTTTTGAGATTTAGATATGTTAGTTAATGATAATGGTAGCTAACATTTTTAACACCTATATTGAGCATTTGCTATACAACAGGTATTTGTCTAAGTGCTTTATTATATATCTAAATTGAATTCTGTAAGAAAAGTCTTCTTGTGTGTACTATAGATGAGGAAACTGAAGCTTAAAAAGGTTTTTTTAAAAAAACGTGCCCAAGATCACAAAAATAGGGACAGTGAATCCCGTGAGAGCCAGAACTTACTGGGGCAGTCTTATTTTCTTGTGTCTCAACCTCTTTCACTGTTGACTGGATATAGTCTTACAATTTTCTATCGCTCTCTATTAGTGTAAAATATTTTCTTTTCTGACAGGTGTCTGCCTAATACAGGCTTGTGTTTTTGTATGTTTTACTGCAGCAGAAATGGGATGCATATCTGGGATCCAGCCAAAGAAACATTTGGGAGATTTTGTCTAATATCTCACAGAAAGTACTTTCTTACTTTATAGTGCCCCATCCTTCATCAAAAACTACCAATAATGGTTTAGAGTTTAAATAGTTTGCCAAAAGGGAAAAAAATTATGAATTCCTTCCTTAGATATTCATAGAATTACAATTTCTAGAGAGAATAAATGTTTGTTTGTTTTTTTTACCTGATTCATAGTCTTTTTTGGTTTCTTCTTGGAAATCCTTAAAAATTTCTTGTCTGAATTTCTTTTCCAGTCCATAACTATAGAACCTGAACAGACATTCTAACCCGTACCTGTGGGAAGTGAATGCAAGTTTTATAAGCAAAGTTTTGCTATGACAACACAACATCTCATATTTAGCTACATGGAAATAAGCACACATGGTATAAGTAATCCCAAACGAAATTAAAGTTCTAAATGCATTTTTAATCCAAGAGTTGGTCCTTTAGTAATCCATGTAGTTATCCAAATAACGCTATTTTTGCTGATTCTACCATAGGCCCCATGAAAGCATAAGGAACCCATAGAACGAAAGGAACCATTTGAGAGCTCGAATGTGGCTTCCTTAGAAGGGTAGCTTTCTCTTTTCGTTATTTATGAGGATTTGGTCAGTGGACTGAGTAACAAATTAGGAGTGTTTTAGATTTTTTCCAAACCCACATTTATATTGGTGTCTGTGCCTGGTTAAATCTGCTAGAATATAATCTTCACTCTAGATAAAGACCACACCCTGTTATCTTGAATCTTAGGTGTAGTTGGCCCCTTCAACTTCATTAAGATAAATTAATTAAACAGCTACTAAGAGACCCCTATGTTTTGGTGTAAAATATCATTAATTGTAGACATTTTGCTAAAAGAGCTGTAATCACAAGGTAAAAAAGATGCTAATTCTCAGGTAAAGCCATTTTCCTTCAAGGTTCATGAGTCAGAAGAATGCTTTCTTCTAAGACACTTGTTTCTGAGTAAACCCAAAACTGTGAGCCATCATAAGGAGGAGCCCATGTGCCTCCTGCCAACAGCTTCATCCGTGAGCTTGAAAAGAGGATCCTTCAGGCAGAGTCTCCAGGGACTACAGCTCTGCCCAGTACCCTGAATGCAAACTCACAGGGCACCGTGCGCCAGAACTGCCCAGCAATAGCTAAAAATCTTGTGAATTAACAAATGTTTGTTGCTTTAAGCTGCTATGTTTTAGAATAATGCTCTATGTACCAATACAGCCCTCCCTCGAACTAATTTCAGTCCAAACAAAACCAGGACATTGCATTACTAGTTTTACTATTATTTCAAAACTCCATCCAAGTATACAAATATTAGAAAATATTTGACCTGTAATTTTCTTTTGCATCTTCCCAAGCAAGTTGTCTAAATTCCTCATACATTTTTTTATTGAAGTGATCTCTGAGGAAAAAGGACCAGAAACGAAAGAGGGTATTCATTTCTTGGGACTGGCCAATTCCCAAGCGTTTCCTATCTGGAGAAAGTTAAAATAATAGAACATGTTTTTCATATAAGGCATACTTTCAAAATTCAAGATAGTAGACATTTTACTTTTCTTAATGAAGAAAGTGGAAACGTGAATCTTCAAAATGCATTTAGGTTTCTTCTAAGCAGAAGACAAATGCTAATCTATTTTCTGACTCACTGATAAAATTTTAAGACAAAAAGCTTAATTTAGGAGGTAAAGTTAAAATGAAAATATTTGTCAATAGAAACAAGTGCAATATTCCAAATTCTACTTTTAATATATCTATCATGCAAAAATTTAAGTATATAGACATTTACTTAAGATGATTATAAGAAAATAAAATGCCTATGTTACTAGTAAATAACTTAAATTTTTAAAAAATCATATTTTAATGTTAAATATAATCAAGTAAACAACAGGCATCATACCATTCAGGCATCTTCGACGATATTTGTGGTACACTTGTTGGGTAAAGCCATTTTCTTTCAGAAGTTCATGAGAAGGATGCTGGAACTTTGGGAATGAATGAGGGGTACACCCATAACTTCCTACTAGTGGTGTGCCTTCTGAAGGAGAAGTAGTATTTGAACTGCTTCAAAAGGGGGAAGAAAAAAGCCTTTAAACAAAAATACAAAAACCAAGTATTTAAACTAATTTGCACTGTATTTTTCATTGAAGGAAGTCTAAGTAACCAAAAATTCCCCTAAATTAAAGAAAGCTCTAAAGTGCTATTTATGTTCAACACATAGGTAAATTCACAAGCTGATAAAGCATGTCATAAAATTATCAAACTAAAAAACAACATAAGTAGAATCAGATAACTAAATAATCTGCTCATTTTCAAGATCTTTATTAACTTAGTTCAAATTTGTTCACAGTTTATTTCATTTTAGTATTCAGGAGAAGCTTAGTTTTCTTATTTAGAATAATTAGGCTGATGGTGAAAATTGGGCAAGTAAAAGGAAGGAGTAAAGTCTGGCACAAAGATAAAGGCAAAAATCTCATCCCTAAATCATATGTGCAATTCCAATTCTTGAAATCAATGCCTTTTTGTTTCCAGGCTAAAATTCAAATCTAGGTCCTTCTTCCTGTTTTACATGAAATAACTAGATTCCTTGATTTTCCAGGCCTACTCCCCTCTTTTTTTTTTTATCGTTTTATTAGGGGCTCATACAACTCTTATCACAATCCATACATACATCAATTGTGTAAAGCACATTTGTACATTCATTGCACTCATCATTCTCAAAACATTTCCTCTCCACTTAAGCCCCCAGCATTAGGTCCTCATTTTCCCCCTCCCTCCCTGCTTTCCCCTCCCTCATTAGCCCTTGATAATTTATAAATTATTATTTTGTCATATCTTACCCTGTCCGACATCTCCCTTCACTCACTTTTCTGTTGTCTGGCCCCCAGGGAGGAGGTCACATGTAGATCCTTGTAACTGGTTCCCCCTTTCCAACTCACTCTCCCTCTACCCTCCCAGTATCGCCACTCACACCACTGGTCTTGAAGGGATCATCCGTCCTTGATTCGCTGTGCTTCCAGTTCCTATCTGCACCAGTGTACATCCTCTGGTCTAGCCCTCTCCCCTCTATTTTGTCAACAAATTGATCTTCCTGCAGCACTAATTTAAATCAGTGGTTTTCAAAATGTAGTAATGTTGTCTATGAGCCATAAAGGGTTTCCAAGAACCTTTGAGGAAGTCTGCTAAATTAAGAGATTTTCATACTAAAAGTTTTGCCCTTTTAACTGTGTTGGCATTTCTAGGGACGATACAAAAGCAAGTGGCCCAAGCTGTATTTATCAGTCACTGTATTCTTCAACTGCTACATATTTTGCAATTGGCGGGGCGGCGGGGAGAGGGGGCGGCCTGGATGAGCACCAGTTTACCTTGGGTTGCATTTAATGAAGCGTGAAGACTGAGGTAGGCATAAAGCACTTGTGTGGCATACTGAAGTAAAATGACTAGCTTAAGGAAAAGTACTCATGTAAGTTTTGAGCTGAACCAGCTATTGTTTTCTTGGAACACCATTTTTAATTGAAAGAACAACTGACAAAGTATAGCACAAACGATGTGAGGGAGGAAATAGAAGTATCTGCTCTAAAGTTCTTATACAATGTATGAAATTTATATAATAATAGAGATAAACTGTTATAAGTTAAAAATGTAGTCAAGTCTAAAGAACCAGCACACACAAACAAAAAAACCCCACGCACAAGTATAAACGAAAAATTGTAGAGATAAAATAGATGATACTCATTTTTAAAAAAGAAACAGCAAGAGAAAAAAACAAATAACAGCTGGAACAAATAGAAAATAAATTTAAATCAAACTATATTAATAATTTTATTAAATGCAAATAGTAAAAACACACCAATCAAATGAAATTGTCAGAATGGCTAATAAAAAGCAAGGCAAAACCCAAGCATACTGTCAATATAAACCTACTTTTTGACAAAGAAAGATATAGAAATGGTGGTTGAAAAACAAAAGTCAAGACCAGTACATACTAAATGTTACCAATTACTCCACGGCCATTGCAAGCAACACATCTCCCTTATTGCTGAAAATAAATAAATAAATGATGGTGAAAAGTAAAATGAGACATCTGGGCAACTAGCACAATATGGTTTATATGAGAGTTTTGAGCCTGTGAATCGGTACATATTGCTGCTGACTTTATGGATGGCCTGTCCTGATTTGATTTTGTTTATGGATGCAGACTTACAAGGTTCCAACCGGAATGAGGATACCTCACATCAAAGAACATACTTGTCTCCTCAGAGCACAGGCTGATATAAATGGGTGGTATAGAAACTGGAGAAACTGGATACCCAAAATGGGGGAATAAAGGCATGAAGTGGCTGGCTTACAAACTTTCATTGGTTGGGGGGGGTGGGTGTACATGTTGATAAGATTATGGTGCAGGTGTTCACATAACTGCAAGTATTTGACATTGCATATTTTTGTCTTGTTCACTTACAGAATATTATGCTTAAAAGAGGCTGGCACATTTTCAGTTGTATACATTTTAGTTTTATCCTGCTAGGCACAAATGTCATTTTACTATTACCTTTGTTTTAAAAATTACGTATACCTAAAAAGTTGAGTAAAGGTTTCAAGTTGACAAGGAGTGGTCTGTGGTAGTTACAAAACTATAGAGGTAGTAAGTATTCAACCTGTCAATCAGGCCTGATAGTGCCTCCTTGTGCGTGTGGCTTTCTCATAAGGGCAGCCCTGGAAACCCCACCCCTTCTCTCTGTTTTCACCTTCCTGCTTATAAGTAGCTCTGGGACCTACCGGAGCCCTGAGATGCTTCAATTGCCATTGGATACACAGGACTTTGCACCCACCAGACTGTGAAGCTCTTGCATTCTGCATCATTGCATGTGGCTACTTGGTTCTGAAGATGGGCTTTTGGACTTAAATTGGACTAGGATGGGATGTTTTCCTGGTATATAATTATTTTTTATATAAAGCTCTTTCTTACACATATATGAATGCCGCTGGATTTGTTTCTCTGATCAATCCGGCCCAAAACAATGATATTCCTCCTCAAAGCTTTCCCCTAGAATGTCAGTTCTTTTCATTCTACACTCTCACTAGAAGAGTTATCTTTTTTTTCTTTCCATTCTTTCCAAAGGGGGAACCAATTACAAGGATCTGCATGTGATCTCTTCCCTGGGAGCCGGACAACAGAAAAGTGGGTGAAGGGAGACGTCGGACAGGGCAAGATATGACAAAATAATAATTTATAAATTATCAAAGAATTATCAAAGGTTCATGAGGGAGGGGGGAGGGGGGAGAGAGGGGGAAAAAATGAGGACCTGATGCCAGGGGCTTAAGTGGAGAGCAAATGTTTTGAGAATGATGAGGGCAATGAATGTACAAATGTGCTTTACACAATTGATGTATGTATGGATTAGTTGTATGAGCCCCTAATAAAATGATTTTTAAAAAAACTTATCTACTGCAAACCATTCAGATAACACTCACGCTTCTAGCCCAGAAACACGGCTGTGTAGTTAATCGATATACATACAACTGCACTCTAGAGACCTTTATCTGGATCTTTCACACACTTCCAAGACTCAAAAGGTCTGAAACTAATATCCTCACTTCTAAATACAATCGTCCCCCTTGTTCGCACCACCAACTCTTTCAACTAAAAACTTAAGGTACTCTCTTAAGTCTTGGTATACTTCCTGAAGACACTTGCTGATTCCCTTGACTACTTTCTACTGCATTTACACTAGGTGTATTGGACGGATCATTTTGACGCATTTCCATTTACTCAATGAAAATTACAAAAAGCCTCGGGTAGGAGATGAGCCAGTCAGGGTGCGATGTAACAATGATGAGAAATACAACTTTCCTCTAGTTCCTAAATGTTTCCTCCCTGCTCCCACTACCATGACTCGAATTCGACCTTGCAAGTCTGGCTAGACCAGAGGAGGTACACTGGTACAGACGGGAACTGAAAATACAGGGAATCCAGGACGGATGAGCCCTACAGGACCAGTGGTGTGAGTGGCGAAACAGGGAGGGTAAAGGGAGAATGGGTAGCAAAGAGGGAACCGATTACAAGGAACTATATGTGACCTCCTCCCTGGGGGAAAGACACCCGAAAAGTGGGTGAAGGGAGACATCAGACAGGACAAGATATGACAAAATACCAATTTATAAACTATCAAGGGCTCATGAGGGAGGGGGGAGCGGGGAGGGAAATAATAATGTGTTTTAATTCTACAACTCTTGTACAGTATGCATAGATAGCTTAGCACACAAATTCATTCAACAAATATATATTAAGAACCTACTAAATGCCAGTAAGAACAAGGTACTGGATGGAGTCTTTCGAAAGAAAGTAACTTTCATAGACCTAAACAGTTTATAAGGTCAAGAGAAAACATTGTGGAAATAAGTGTTTCCTTACAAATACCTTACTGAATTAATCTCTTAATGGAATTACTATAAAAACATTTTTCCTCTTTAAGTATACATCTTTAAAAAAGTTTTAACATACTTTATATTTCCAAATATTTCATTAATAACCATTTCCAACAAATTGTAAATCAAGAACAGAAAAATAAAAACGAACAGGGTACCTGACAGAGGATGTTCTTGGCCCGTGATCTCTGGAATCCATTACCCAACCAACATGACATTCTAGAGGGGGATTTGTACTATGCCGTGTTTTTCTTTTTCTGGGACTCTAAAACACAAGTAGCCAAACATCGCAATTACTTTCAGCAGTGTGGACTTAACAAGTAAGTTAAAACCCTCTGGCTGCAAACCAACTCAAACATCTTCACACTGCAGGTGACACATTATGAAATCATACGAAGTCACAAAACTCAAACAGCTTACATACCACTTACAAAGCTTAACAAGTCTCTTTACTAGATTTGTAACACAAAGAGTAAAAGAAATGCCACTTAGTATGATTCTGCATTACACTTTGTTTTAATTTGTTTAGATTGTCTTTAATTACACTACTGAATTGAATGAAGGTATTTATCATGAGAAAACACTATTATTGTAAAATCTTTTTCTTCCCCATGAATTTTTACAATCTAAAACATGATTCTTTAAAAGTAAAAGAAACTAAAAAGCTTCATTCTGTAATTTTAAAACAAAGGATAAGGTTTTTGGACTTTCTGCTCCAAGTGGTTTTATGTACCTTTGCATCAATGGCTTTTGGTTCTTTAACAACAGGATAAAATCTGGGTGTTTTGTTAGGATCGTGTAGTCTGGGCGTCCGAGGTGTTTTGGGGACCCTTGTAGGACAAATTCTAGGTGATTCTGGGACTGCTGTGGGGTCTGAACCGGCCATTGTTATTGAAGATACTTCTGAAATATCTAACAGCTTCTGAGCTAATTCTTCAGACAAATCTGCAAAATAAAATGTTATGATTATTTTGGATTCTATCAAAATATATTTGAGAACAAGAATAATTTTTAAATACTCTAAGCTCAATTATTTTTTCATTAGAAACTTGTCAACTACGTAAGAAAAAAGAAAATTAATAAACACTCATTTACCCTCACCTAATTTTACTAAATATTGTCACACATGTATACAAACACACAAGGAGGCATCAAAAAAGCTTGTGGAAAAAATGGAATTGGATAATGAATTCTTTTTCATAAGCTTTTTGAAGCTCACTCATGTGTATTTTTTTTTTAAAGAACAATGAGCTACAGCTCACCGCATAACCTTTCCTAATCCCACCGCCCTCCAGCTGCTTTCCCTCTCAGAAATAACTGACTAGGCTCTTAAATCTGGTATTTCTATTTATTAATATAAACGTGCAATAATAGGATTTTTGCATAATGTGAAAGCACACTGTATATCATTTTTTAAAGCTTTTTCAGTCACTATTTTGTTTATTACATTGATGTTCCATTCTTATAGCTTGGATTTATTATTTTCACTGCTGAATAGTATGCTTTTATTTTTGTTTGTTTAATCATTTTATCAGGGGGAATAGTATGCTTTTATAGTAATTCACTTTCCCACAGATGATCATCTAGGATTATTGCCAAGTTTTGGTTGTAATCAACAACGAACACTACTGAACATTTCTCTTAGCACAGGTGTGGATATTTCTCTAGGATTTATATCTGAGGTGAAAAGATGGAGTTAAGGGCTCCATGTGTCTTCTGATTTACTGAGTACAGTGAACCCTCGTTTATCGCAGTTAAGCGGTTCTAGACCCTACCGTGGTAAATGAAATTCCGCGAAGTAGGATTCCTTATTTGTAAATCAAATATTTTCGTAGTTAGAGCATAGAGGACATGAAAAAACACCCTTTAGTCACCATTACACTCGTATTACCCAATTTATTAAACGAAAAAGGGAAAATATAGTAAAACATTTTGGACAATTATCATTTATTATTTATTATATTATGAAGTACAACGGATGGAGCAAACGGAAGACTCATTCAAGTCGAAATGGCGTGCAACCTCCACGGTTTTCTTGCCATCTTTGATCATATCCAAAAGTTTTACCTTTTCCTGGATGGTGAGCATCTTCCTCTGGCGCTTATTTTTATTGTCAGAAGGCTTAGAAGAAGCAGCTCGTTTAGGAGCCATCATAGGGCTTAGATAAAATTTCTTTAAAATCGCAAATAATTACAGTACACTGTACAAAAGCAAAAATGTATCTGATACGTAGCTCCGATACGTAGCGATGCATGTACAGTATGAGCCAATCAGTGGCAGTAATGACAGAGCATGCGCTGTTACGCAAAAACCGCGATAGAGTGAAGCCGCGGAAGTCGAAGCGCGAAGTGGCGAGGGTTCACTGTACAGTGATTATCTCAGTTAAAGAACTCAATTAGTTCCAAATTCAAGTTCAAACAATGAAAAATTCGAGAACTGAACATACTTTTCCCCTAAGAAATAATGGAAGAGCGAGCAACTGGTTCAGAGACCCCAAAATTACACTTATAAATTCATTTTTCCAGGACTGTAACACAAAGTTAACAGCCCTAGGTCATACACATACCCCCTAAAACCTCTAAACACAGTAAATTACATATCAAAACAATAGAGTAAATAAAATTAACCTAGTTTTAATTATATTTTGTTGTTTAAAAACCCATGGGTTTGGGGAATGGTATAGTACTTTGGGCTTTACTTTAAAATCCCAACTAACAGCATTCCAACACAGCCAGAGTGTGCCTTTCATAGACTTGTGGCCTCTTTAGAACTGAAGGTCCTATTGGGCATTTTTCCCCCTATAAAAGTCTAGTTTCATCATAGTTGCTGGGGGATGAAAGCAGGAGCCTCCACACATTCAGCATTTCAGCCACGAATTTATCATATTCGTCTTTATTTCACACACTCCTCCCTTCCCCAGGCCTCACTACATTATGTATGCCTGCTTTCTTAATTTTTCAATTCATAGACTTGATAATTTGATCATGAAGATCTTATGGTAAGGCACTAAGTAAGCCATAAGATGAATCAAGTATGTATAGTAACAACAAGTATATGAGGACCCTTTACAACACTGAGGGGTGTTGGGGGTGGACGCCATTCTTTTCATTCCATTTGTCTGCAATTTTTTTTTTTAACTCCCTCATTTGTTCCTGGTTTATCTATAGACTCACCACCTTCTTTTGAACCCTATAATCACCTTTTGTTCAATCATTCAATGGGGTCCTGGGCAGGGCAGAGGGTTACACTCTGGCAAGACTGGCTGATGAGACCACGGAGCTTTGCGTTGGAAGCCCGACACTTTTCTGAAAGGCCGCACAGCCTGGAAAACCCCAACAAGCAGATCTACTCCACACGCTTGCACACACTCGCGGGGGCAGTGGGGGTATTCCATATAAGCCACTACCAACCCCAGCGCCAACGAACAGCAGACGCATGCATTCAAACAATGCCAAAACTTCACAGGGAAACAAATTTCCCATGAACTTCTGAAAATCCCCTCACATCACTGAGTGCCTACTATATGCGCAACAATACTGGCTCTAGTTTGTAAAGTCAAAGAGAACTTACCCCCCCTCTTAATCTCCCCACTTTGCCATTTCTCCTCCTCATTGCTGTCAGAATTACTGTGAAAAGCAACTAGACGGTTTCCTATTTCTACTTAAAATCCTTCAGTGGTTTCCATTTACCTCTAGAAAAAGAGGGTCTTTGGTAAGGTTCCCTAGAGACTGCTAATAATAAGGTCAGTGATTCAAACCCACCATTTGCTACTCAGGAGAAAGACAAAACTGTGTGCTTCCATTACGATTTAATCATAGAATCCTTATTTAGCACGCCCAGAATCAGCTCAATGGGAATGGGCTTGGAATTTGGTTTATAGTAGTATGTAACTTTCTTGACATGACTTGTGAACGGTCATTCCCTGCTTTAAAGTGGATGTCCCAAATAGTGGCTATATACTTTTTCTTGACTTCATCATCTTTTTATTTTTTCTTCTCTGAAACAGCCCTTCCCTAATCCTTTATATACCACATATACTCGAGTATAAGCCGGATTTTTCAGCAGTTTTTGTGGTAAAAGTAGGTGCGGATATTCCGGGTAGGCTTATACTAGAGTATGTACGGTCTCTACTTGAACTCACACGAGGGATGAGGAACATTTGACCCACAGGCTGTCAGTGTCACACACTCACTGCCCTTGAGTCGATACTGGCTCACAGTGACCCTATCTATATATAGGACAGGGTAGAACTGCCCCTGTGAGTTTCTGAGATTGTTTTAACTCTTTACATGAGTCGAAAGCTTCCAATGGGCCATTTAAGACCCGAGAAATCATCAATACCACATGATTCCATTTATATGAAATTTCTAGGAATACAAAATCATTAGAGACAAAAAGTTGATCAATAAATATTGCCTCATAAATGGGCATGAGAGAAATTTTTAGAATAAAGATATTGTTTTAATACCAAACTGCTGGTGAACAATTTATGTTTTCATAAATCATCAAAGTATACATATAAAGTGTATAATTATTGGTAGAAAAGTTCTATTTCAATGAAGCTGTAAATAAAAACAGCAAAACAAAAGAAGCTATCTGTTCTGTAGGACACCTCAATTGTGGTGGTCTACCATAGTCTCTGCTACAAGCTGATCAGAAAATGATGTTTTAAGAGGGATAATCTAATGGCAGTGGTCTCAAATTACGTTACATATTCTCAGGTCCATTTCAGTTTATGGACTCAAACTCTGGGTATGCAGTAGTCCTGTTATCTGCTAAAGCCACTCGACTAACTAAAGTGTGTGGCTAAGTATTCTAGTACCAAATCATTAAAAGCTTTATATTGGACCATATAGGCCCTGTCCATAGGTCACTGTTCTCATTATAGACAAAAAATCTCTCCCTTATATATATAGTTTACAAAATATATATTACATTATAAATTTGAAAAGGAATTATTTTAGAAAAACAAAGGCATTACAAGTATGATACTAAGTTATTGATATGTGGTCACTAAATAGTATAATTTTTATAAATGCCACAGGACTAGCAATTTAGTTTTTTTATAAATAAAAAATGTTATTTTATAAATTTTAAAAAAGCAGAGATTGGGAAATGTTTTCTGTAAAGGCTAAGACGACAAGTTTTAGCTTAACCAGTAATAAAGTGTTTGTTGAAACTTCTTAGCCTCCTGGATTCCGAAGACAGTCAAAACATCAGAAGAGCAGCAACCAAGTAGGAGCCAGACCACGAAACAGAGTGGTGGGTTTCCCAACCCACATAGCAAATAAAGCCAAGTTTTTTTGTGCAGGAGACTGGTTTGTGGAGTGGGTTGCCTTCGCTGGGCATAATTCAGAGAGCTGGGTTGCTAACCTATGACCCTGAGCAGAATGCCTTTGGGTTGAGGCTTGCAGTAGAGTGGTGTGCCCCTTTGGGCATTTACTAGTAGACCCAAAAGAACGTTATGACTCAGCCTGGTAAATAAACACCCTTAGCATTTCCCACTGACATTACAACTTGTAACCTTTAATCTTTATAGTCAATACAATGGACATCAGAACCCAGAGGTATAAAACAGATAACATTAATGAAAACAGTAAAATTTCCAACATGTCATAAAACCAAAGGTATATAAGTTGTCAAATAGGAACAAAATGTGGTCTATAAACTAGAAACCACTCCCCCACTCCCAACCCCCATAAACAGAAAAAAAAAATCATTGGATGATGTTTTTTTTCAGACACTTCAGAAGAAAAGAAATGTGCTAGAAGGTATAAAAGTAAACAAAGATTTTTAAAAATCATCTGAGGATGGAGGTACGGCTCAATTTCTGTTGCTCCCACAAAATAATGGCATCTCTCTCTCACTGCTATCAAGTTGATTCCAAATCACAGTGACCCTATAGGACAGGACAGAACACTACCCCTGTGGGTAACCAAGACTGT